TCTGGGGCAGTTGACTCTCCCGAATGGGGTGATGCTGGGCTCGTACTTCAGGAGCAGAGTAAGTTGGCTCTGACACTAGCTGTCTTCCCACTAGCTGTCTCTCCTCTAGAAAACTACCCTCTCCCCGATGCAAGGCCTCTTCCGTGTCTACACTGGCTTCTCCAGGCAGGAGCCAGGGCTTTTCTCATTTCTGACGGTTTCCAACTCAGTCCCAAAGGCTGCAGCTGCCTTTGATGTTGAGAAACAACAAGAAAAACAAGCAAGAAACAAGGCAGCAACATAGGCTTTAGGAGACATATCAACAGGCCGGGCATGGTGACTCAAGCCTGTAATTCCCGCACTTTGGGAAGCCAAGATCGATTGATTAAGGCCAGGAGTTCGAGACCAGCTTGGGCAACATAGCATGACCCCATCTCTGCAAAAATAAAAGTAGAATTAGCTGGATGTAGTGGTGCATGCCTGTAGTTGGAGTTACTTAGGAGGCTGAGGTGGGAGCATGGAGCCTCCCTTGAGCCCAGGGTGTTGAGGCTGCCACGAGTCCTGATCTTGCCGCTGCACTCCAGCCTGAGCAACAGAGTGAGATCCTGTTGCTCAGGAAAAGAAAAAGAAAAAGAAAAAGTTATAAACAGAAGGCTTTGTATTTCAGTTTATAACTTACAAATAAGCAGCATTTAATTTGATTTTGCAAATGTAGTAAGAATGTGATCTTAGTTCCACATTGCATCAGGTTACAGGTGGCATGGAAAAGGTACAGGTGTGAGAGAGTGGAATAAAACAAGAAGTTGGGGTGGAGAGGAAAGCTAGTGACAAGTAGGGTTGTGGGGAGGAGAAAGCAAAGACAGGCTTGCGTGGAATGAGATAAATGTGCATGAGCGGGCTTGTGAGCAGAGTTAGAAAACAGCACAATTTGAGGGGGAACCAGATTTGGTTCTCTTTTCCTTTCCCTTCCCATCCTCATAAGGGTCCTCTCTTAATGCTGTAATTTATGTCCAGAAATTCTGAAAAATTACATCTTCGCTTTCATTTTTTTCCCACTTAAAAAAAAAATTTGACAGGGTCTCTTTGTTGTCCAGGCTGGTCTCAAACTCCTAGGCTCAAGTGATCCTCCCCAGTAGCTGAGACTACAGGTGTGAGCTACCATGCCTGGTAATACCTTCACTTTCCAAAAACTTTTGACAACCTGACATACCTACCTGTCCTTTTAGAATGAATGCTTGATATTGACCGATGGTGCTGTAAGAAGCAAAGACGCAATTTATTTAATAATCTTCCAAATAAAATGCTTTTTCTCAGGAGTTCAAGACCAGCCTGGCCAACATGGTGAAATCCTGTCTCTACTAAAAATGCAAAAATTAGCTGGGCATGGTGGCAGGTGCCTGTTATCCCAGCTACTTGGGAGGCTGAGACAGGAGAATCCCTTGAACCTGGGAGGCAGAGGTTGCAGTGAACTGAGATTGCACCACTACACTCTAGCCTGGGTGGGAGAGTGAGACTGTCTCAAAAAAAAAAAAAAAAAAAAAAGCTTTTTTTCCCCCAAACAAAAACCTTATTGTCTTTGGATGAGCCCAAAGAGTTAAAGAAAATTGTCTGTATTGATACATGAATATACATATACACATATATATAAAGAGAAAAGGAAATACCTTCATATCATCCAGCAGTTTTTTTCTGGGTGGTAATTTTATGACTATTTTTTCTTTTTTTGTGGGGGAAGGGTGAGTTATTTTCTGTCTTTTTAAAAACAGTGAACCGTATTACTTTAATCAGAAAAGGAGTTATTAAGATGTAATGCTCTGGTTGAAACATATGGATAAACAATATTTAAATACAGTATTATCATTTACCAAAAGTATTATTTACTTTTTATAGCCGAAGTTTGGAAATGCATGCATTTAGTGTATATTAGCCCTTCCCCTGCTTTCTTCTAGCTTTTAAAATTTGTATTTTTTACCAAAGTTACGCTGGCATAGAGTTTCAAGAATCAAATATTTCTATAGGACCACAGTCTCCGGCACTGTCACCTTTAGCCCCCTGCTGCCAGGATGGCAGCCACTTTAAACTCTTAACTGATTCTTTTGATATTTACTTCCACATTTGATAGTAACCTGTATGTTTTACTTCCTTTTGGTAGTAAATCTGTCTTTTGGATATCATCTGTTAACTTATCACCATGTAAGATGAAGATTTGGTTCTCTTTTCCTTCCCTTTCCATCCTCATTTTTTTTTTTTTTTTTTTTTTTGGAAGAACAATCCTGTCTTCTTCTCTGAAAATCTTGGGTGTCAGGCCTTATCCAAGAGGGACAAGGTTTCCTTATTTGGAATAACGTGTGCATTCTTTGGCCTTTTGTGATTTTGTCAGTAAGACTTTTAAAGGCTGCTCCAAAACTCTAAGTTATTGGCTTGAATTGGGCCATGTGTTGCTATGAGCTCTGTAGACCAAATAAAACCAGGGGATTGTCAGAATCTGGACTGAATTTAAGGCATCTCCTGGAGGTTATTTTTTGGACCAAATTACAGATTAGCAATTATTTTATTATCCTTTGGTCATAAAAGTAGAGTGTAGAGAAAATATACAACCCTAGTAAATTGTTTGCTAGACTCTGGAAAACTTGGCGGGGGTGGGGTGAGGTTCCTAGAAGGCACCTTCCTTGAGCTCTCAGTTTCAGAAAACTCCCAAAAGATGTCTTCTGTTCATATTTGGTGATGTACAGTGTTTGTGGGGCAGTGGTGGAGATGCCTGTGTCTGGGGGACCCAGCTGGATTTCTATAAAGTCCCAGGAAGTGCCCCTTTTCCAGAAGGGCTGCTACAATCCAATCTCTGGAACGTGGACTGTTATCTGAGTTCTGACAGTTTTACTTTGTTCCCAGGGCCACCCCCAGTCACCTCCAAATTCTTTGTATAATTCCAGAGGCCATTCCTCTGGGTTTATCCTGCTTCCGCCACGCTAGTGAGTAACTCCCACCTCCTGCCCTTTGTCTCTCTATTTATGGCCCTTCTGAGTTCTGGAGAAGACTTCACTGGGACTGACGTCAGTGAGCTTAACATCTTTCTCATTAATGAGGAATGAGAGAAGGCAACAGGACGATGCCCCCTTGGCTTCCACTGTAAGAAACTTGAAGACTCTGAATCTTAAAGTTATTAGAGCAGTCAGAAGCCACATGGTTTTAACAGCTCTACTTGTGTACCTCTGGTAATGAGCAACTCACTGTCTAGGAGCCACTCTTTCTAATGTTGGATAGCTCTTCTCATTGGAAAGCCTTTTCCCACTCATCTGACATTCTTGTCTGGAACTTTCATCCATTTCAGAGGATAGGAGCATTCTTGACGGTACAGTTTGTCCAACCAGTCAACATATTACTCTTCCTTTTGTTCTGACATAAGTGGTATAAAATGAGGTAATAGATGCATTTTGGAAAAAGTAATGGCACTATACAAATGCAAGAAACATTATTGATTGGCTTTTATGGCTTAGATGAGTCTGACTTGAACTTTCAGCGTCATATACTCCATTAGTTGAGAACATTGCAGTGACCTTTTTTAGGAAACAGTTTCCTGGAGATTTAGTCAGTGTAGAAAAATACCATATTCAGCCCTTATTCCACAAAAGTGTCAAATATTTATATGTCTGAATAGTCTGGGCTGGGTGTGCCAGCTCACACCTGTAATCCCAGCAGTTTGGGAGGCTGAGGTATGAGAATTGCTTGAGCCCAGGAGTTCAAGACCAGCGTGGGCAAAACGTCAAGATCCCGTCTCTACAAAATACTAAAAAAATTAACTGGGCATGGTGTTGCACGCCTACAGTCCAACTACTTGGGAGGTGGAGGCAGGAGGTTCTCTTGCACCCAGAAGTTTGAGGCTGCAGTGAGCTATGATCACGCCACTGCACTCCAGCCCGGATGACAGAGTGAGACTCTGTCTTAAAAAAAAAAAGTCTGGGCCACTACTGTTTTGACTTAGATGCCCTTTAATTTCTTCCTTTCCCTTTCCCTTTCCTTTTTTTTTTTTTTTTTTTTTTTTTCTGATGGAGTCTCGCTCTCTTACCCAGGCTGGAGTGCAGTGGTGTGATCTTGGCTCACTGCAACCTCTGCCTCCTGGATTCAACTGATTCTCCTACCTCAGCCTCCTGAGTAGCTGGGATTACAGGCGTGTGCCACCACACCTAGCTAATTTTTGTGTTTTTAGTAGAGATGGGGTTTTGCCATGTCGGTCAGGCTGGTCTTGAACTCCTGATTTCAGGTGATCCACCCTCCTTGGCTTCCCAAAGTGCTGGGATTACAGGCGTGAGCCACCGTGCCTGGTAGCCCTTTAATTTCTGTGTGTCCCATTTTGTTTTTCACATATCTCCCTCTGTGTGAACATGTGTGTATGTTTAGTTTTAAAATTCTGTTTTTTTTTTTTTAGAGAAGAAAGATATTAAGTAAGAGCTAACTATGGTACCTTTAAAAATGAAATTCGGAAGTTGAAGATTAAATTACTTATGCATTTTATTAATTGATACTTTCCAGGAAGAAAATACCCTGTTTTGTGCAAGGGAAGATCAGGCTGTTTTTGAGGAAGGGATATCAGAAGGTTAAGAACAGGCTTTCTGAGTGGTGGCGGCTCTGTAATTCCAGGGCCTACCCATCCCTCACTTCTAGGTGCCTGTATTCCTTCCCAAGTCCTCACCCATCTGTGACTAGATATGGTTAGGGAGGAGGACCAGTTTTGTACATACCAGAACAAGTAGCTTCTAACTGTATTTGAGTCTTGATAAAAATGAGCCTAACACGCAGCTGTTGTCCAGGTGCAGTGGCTCACGCCTGTAATCCTAGTTCTTTGGGAGGCCGAGGTGGGCGGATCCCCTAAGGTCAGGAGTTCGAGACCAGCCTGGCCAACATGGTGAAACCCCGTCTCTACTAAAAATGCAAAACTTAGCCGGGCGTGGTGGTGGGTGCCTGTAATCTCAGCTACTTAGGAGGCTGAGGCAGGAGAATCGCTTGAACCCGGGGAGGTGGAGGTTGCAGTGAGCCAAGATCATGCCACTGCACTCTAGCCTGGGTGACAGAGGGAGACTCCCTCTCAAAACAACAACAACAAGGAAACCATGCAGTGTTACACGTTGTCCCACCTGCCCTAGGACTTCTCTTCCCTTCACCCTTAAATGCTTTCTCTTTGGAAAAATCACTTGGGTGCAGTTTGTTGAAACTGGTCAGCAAATTATTGTTTCCATAGGTCTGGCATAAGTCTCATTAGAAATGATTTCATGAGGCAACCGTAAAAGGAGCTGGTTTTCTCAGTATTTAGAAAACTCTTGTTTTCTAAGTAGTGAGTGTCTTGCCAGAGGTTCAGTTTTGTTTTTCTTATGATTTTGATTTATTTGAGTCTGATAGAATGGTATCAATGACATGAGGAATAATTACAGCATCTTTTGAAATTCTATCCTGGAACCCCACCAGGAACTGACCCAGATTGGTGCCAAGGTACACATAATAGGTTTTAGGTTTTTGAAAATTGGAAATGCTAGGCTTTTTGATACTTAAAGACCATTGTTTTAGTGGGTGGAGTTCTTTTTTGATCTTCTAAGTTTAAACTTTTTAGTTCGGGATGGCCAGTGACCGTCCTGTGTTGTGAGAGTTTAAGAGGCCTCTGAGAAGCAAGACCTGCATGTGTGTGTGTGTGTGAGTGTGTGTGCACACACATGTGAACATACATTCACATTTGCACTGTCTTCATTTTGCCGACAAGTTTTAAGCTTTTCTGGACTTTCTGCTTTTGCTGAATCTTCAGGATGCTTGCTATCTTAGGAAATTTAGTATGATATTAAGTCTTTAAATAAAGATAAAAATAATTTGCTTTAAACCAAGAAAAAGAGAGAGAGAAAGAGAGAGATTGGCAGCAATAAATTAGCATGTTAACATTGGTGGACAGATTCTTGTGTTTTCTCTGAGACTTCCTTTGTTTTCCCAGCTTTCTATGATTAACATGTATTACTTTTATATTAGAGAAAATGATTTGTAAAAAAGCATGGTTGCTTTGAAATTCATTCTCAGTCTGCCGATGGGATAACAAGGTAGAGAATACAGGAGGGATGACAGATTGGAGCTTAGGGACGTTGGGAGCTGGGGCTGCCATGGGAACTGTTGTTCCCAGCCTTTTTGTCATCAGAGACGCCCTTCTTTTGTTTTTATACTTATTTATTTTTCTTCTAAATACCCCTTGCTCTGAAAAATTTCATCCAACCCAACACCATGTTTATTAAGTAATAATATATTTCCCCACTCTTGATCAGTCGAAGATAGACTTAACTGCCTATTAGAGTTACCCGAGCCTTTATGGAGTTGCTACTGTTCCAGCTAAGAGTAAAGATGTGTGATGTTTGAATTGACTCTTGTGTTAGACATTCATCTATGTCCTCTACATTCATTTCTACCCGAGTGGAATTTTCTGGGCTGTGGACCCAAGGCTGAGGCTCTGTGGTTAGAGCTCTCCTGTGTTTTGGACCTAGGATCCCCGTATTCCTTCTGACACTGGAGGCCAGAAATAGGCATTTTTTGTGGCTGGGAAATGCCTCCTCCAATCCATTTTGGTCCTAATCTAAATGAGAAAGAAGAGAGCCAAATTCCCCAACTCCAGTGTCCACATACTCGGGTTTAAACCCACTCCCGTGGAGTCCCGCAGAACACGGGAGGAGGAGCTTCTGGCTCCGTTTCCCAGCCCTATACTCCAGTTTTCTCTTTACCCTTTCTGACCCTCCTGCTTGGGAACTGTGAAAACAAAGAATGGTAACCATACAAGGAAGCAATCCAACTCAAACATAATAAAAATTAATTTAAAATGTTAGTGGATCTCTTGTTGAACACCAACGGGAGAGAATTAAATTATTAATGCCTAGGAAAATGAAATTCTTTCTCCGTCTCTACCACTTGGTATCTCGTACACGATGGCAGCTGCTCTTCTAGAAACTCCCTTTTACTTTTCATCTCCTCACTTTCCACAGCCCTCCAGGAATAGGGGGGCGTAGAAAGCCTCCCATCCCTTTCATCTGGACAGGTACCGAAGCTAGAGGGGGCACTTGTGTTCTTACAGGATGACCTCAGTTCCATTCCAAGGATAGGGTATAGAACAAGAGTTTTTAGTTTTTATTGGAACATGGACCCCTTTGAGAATCTGATGAAAGCTTTGGACACTTTTTCCAGAAAAATTATATGATAATAACTAACATTTATGTTGTAGACATTGTGCTAAGCACTTAGGTGTATTATCTCTTTTGATGCTCATCACAACCCTGTGAGGTGTAGGCACTGTTATCTCTGTTCTGCAGATGGGAACACTGAGCCACTGAGATGTTAAAAGATTTGTCCAGGGATACACGTATAAAAAGTTGTGGAGTCTTTGCATATAATTTTAGTTGGTGCTCAGGTTAAGATCTTCAGCTCTAGATTATGAGCCACCACCTGCAATCACTTAAAGACAGATGTCTGTACATGTAACAGGGTAGCAGGTGGATACTAACCCCCAGGGCTGGTGACCAACCTGCTTGTCAGGGTAGTGAAGGAAGGGAAAGGCTGCTCTTGGCTCCCCGTTTGCAGAGTCCTCCCCCGTCCTCTTCGACCAATTAGGTGAATCTGTGTGTGGGTTTCTAAGTGTCTGTGCTTTGCAGTGATCCCACACAGTTATCTAATTGGCATTTAATGTGAGCTGGGAAGTTAGACAATCTGGGCTTCTCTCTTGGTTTTGCTACCACCAGACTGTGCGACTTGGGGAGTCATTCAGACCCTGTGCGCTCATCTGCAGACCAGGGAGAATGAACTCTGGACCTCACTGGATTGGGAGGGTCTTGCTACAGTGAGAGGAAGTCACTGCCTTTAATGCATCTTCCCGTGGCCCATAAGTGGCCTGCTAGAAATAGTGTGCACATCTTTTTCTTATTAAGATTAGGGCTTCCAGAAACTGACCTGTGACTGCTGACCACACTTGACATCTGCAGTTTTTGGAGTTGCAGTGAATGTTTTCTTAGACCTCCAATCAATGATTAGTAATAATTAAGATTTTGTAATAGCTTGTACCCCCTCTTCTGTCTGCCCTTCTTCCCACCCGTTTGGCCATGACCCCCATAGCAGGTATCCTTAAAATCACAGAGCTGTGAAATGTCAGTGCTGGAAAGGAACTTGATCACCTATGGCTAGCCATGCCATTGTGCAGAAATGGAAATAGGCTCAGAGAGGTGCAGAAACTTGCCCAGGGCCACACAGCTAACCCATAGGAGTAGAGGCTGGGTCATATTCATCATAGTTTCTCTGTTTTCATCCTCACTGCCTCTCAAACTTCCTCAGTGCATGGAGAATGGAGGAACAAACTATTTGTACAAGCAGAGCCATTTTAGAAGTTCTTCATGGCGCTAGGCCCACAGTTCCTCACTTTCAGGTCATTGTTAACTTCTCCAAGCACCAAGATGAATCTCTGCTGTAGACAGAGACCTGGGAAATATCCCTGTCTATTTACTGTGTTATCCCAGGTAATGTAGAGATGGATGTAGCCAGGCGGTGTGTTGAGAGACTTTTGGAGGTCAGGGTGGTGTGGTTTATTAATGGCTGTGCTGGAGTTCTCTCTGCAGCAGAGGTCTAAATTGGATATAAAGAGCATCTTTTCTGAAGCTGGGTCCAGCTGATCTGAGTGGTGATATTCAGCACTACTAGGCGTTAGCTTCTAGCATCTCCCACCTCTTGCCACATGCCACTGTGAGTATTCATGGACTTTCTCCTCTTCTGTCTGCGAAAGAGAATTCTATTGTCTATTACTCAACTTTCCTGGTAACACTACCTTCTAAGGAGAAGTTTCTCTTGGTTAGTTTAGTGCCTGGGCCTTTTTCATATGGAGTCAGGGCAATGAGTAGAGGCTGAATTAGAGAGCTAGGAGGTAGGGATGGTCAGAGTGTTTGTGTGTGTGTGTTTGTGTGTGTGTGTGTATGTGTGTAAGCAGCTACTGGCATCGGAAAGGGCCAATACTTGTAGGTGAGAGGAGAGAATGAAGGCCAAAGGAAAGGAGGAGGGAGAGGAAAGTGTTTATCAACTGGGGTTTAGGGAGAGTGAGGAGATGAAAAGTAAAAGGAAGTTTCTAGAGGAGCTCTCTGTGTTTAGGATATCAAGTAGTAGAGAAGGAGAAAGGACGTTGAAGATACTTTCCTGTGCATTAATAATTTAATTCCCTTCTTTTGGTGCTCCACAAGAGATCCCCTAACATTTTAAGTTAATTTTTATTATGTTTGAGTTGGATTGCTTCCTTGTATGGCCACCAAATGGACGCTGGGCTACATGGAGACCCAGTTATGTTCAGGCGACACTGGTCTGTTCTATCTGGGGCTGATGGTGAGGCAGTAGAGTGTGAGAAGCACATTCTGGAAGGTGGGTGATGGCGGAAGTGCTCTGTGGCGGGGGGCCTCGGGCTGATTTGCTGGAGTCAGCTTGTACTTAGTGTTACTTCATTCTGCACAAATCCCAGATCATTTTCCTGTGTTAAAAATAAAGAAATATGTCAGAGTTCTCAGATTCAGTGCTTATTTACTTCATACCCTATCTTCAAAAATAATTTGAGGCAGTTTGAATTTAGTGGGGAAATGTGGCAATTCATTCAGACTGTATTTTTTCCATAAATAGAAAGGAAATTTGCTTTGAGAAGAAAGAATAGGTTGAGTTTCTAGGCTACATTTTGCTGAAAGAAATATTATTGGGGAAGGATATTTTAATTTTTATTCTCCAAGAAATTGCTCTTTTGTTCTGCTTTGAGGTGGAGGTGGTTTAGCACAGAGAAGATTTTTAGACCAAGGCAAGGAGCAGTGACTATTTGGCTTAGATAAAGAGAGTGCTTTCTTCTGTCTGTGCCTCGTGGGGTCGAATCTATCTGTGTGAGCTGCCTGTCCAACATTCACGTTCAGTGAGATGACTTCTTTGAGTGGCTAAAGGCCCCAGAACAAACAGACTGCTGGGACTTGCAGGTCTGTGCATGGAGCTTCTTTCTGTTGCCTCCTAGAAGGGCAGAGCAATGCTTCTGAGGAAGAGTAACATCCAGAAGACTGACACTCAGATTTCAGGCAAGAGTACCAGGCAAGAGCAGGAAAAAAGACCCGCCTGGTACTGCTGGTAAGTAAATAAGCATCACAGTCTTATTTAGTTATTTATTTATTTTTTTAGAGACAGGGTCATGCTATGCTGCCCAGGCTGGAGTGCAGTGGCTGTTCACAGGTGCGATCATAGCACATTGCAGCCTTGAACTTTTGGCCTCAAGCCATTTTTCTGCCTCAGCCTCCTGAGGAGGTGGGACTACAGATCCACACCACCATGCCTGGCTTCAGCAAGGTCTTTTTAGCCCATTGGCCAAGCTGTTGGGTACCTTGAAATTGTCCATATTTTTTGACCCCCGTAAGGGGCCTTGTGTGAGGGCAGGAAGTGTCAGCTGCCTTCTGATGTTTGAAGCAGTGCCCAGGGCAGACGGTGATTGCCTGCCTAGGTTTGAAAGATCTCAGGAAAGCAACCCTATGCTGGAAAAAGGCCTGTGACCAGTTCCTGGTCTCTCCGTGGGCCACACCTGCCTTGTTCAGGCTGGTCTATCTGACTGGCTGGGGAAGTCCCCAGGGAGTCTTGCTGATATTGGTCACTATTTCTCAGCTGTGTCAGTGTTTCTCAAAGTGACTTCTAGACCCCAGGCATCAGGATGTTCTGAGGCGCTTGTGGGAAATGTGTGTACCTGGACCTATACCAGGTGGACAGAGTCAGAATCTCTGGGGGGTTCGGGCATCCCAGATGATTCCTTTTACCCTGTAGATGGAGAACCACTGGCCTACTTGCTGCCACTGTGCAGAACTGGACATTGTGGTTAGTAAATTTGAAGCCAGATGATCCTGGACTCAAATTTTGTGTCCTTAAGGAAGGCGGGGAAAGAAGAAGGGCCGGCAGTGTGCAGGTGTTGAGTACCAGCTGGGAGAAGATGTGTGGTTAGTGCTTCCAGCTCTCTTCTTTTATGTGTGCTCAGCAGCAGCCCAGGGTGTAGATGTTATCGTGCCTGTGTACAGGGGAGGAAACTGAACATCAGAGATTGAGAACTCGTTTAACATCACACAGTTGGTAGGTGGAAACCAGTGTGGCCAACCTTCTTGCCTTTTCAGTTATGACTGTAATCCCCACTCTAGAATGATGAGTGCCTCCTTGAGTCTGGCTGTGCAGTAGACATATGATATGAGCTACATAGGTAATTTAAGACTTTCTAGTAGACACGTTAAAAAAGTAGAAACAGACAAAATTAATTTTAACAACACTTTTTTTCTAACTCAGTATATCCAAAATATTATCATCATTTCCATATGTAATTGTATAAAAAAAACCTCTCAGATATTTTACATTCTTTTTAAAAATTCTGAGTCTTCAAAATCCAATGTGTGCATGACTCTTACAGCACATCTCAAGTCACATTAACCGTATTTCAAGGGCTCAACTGCCACCTGTGGCTGGTGGCTGGCGACGTAGGTCCCACCCTGCTGTCCAGGTAGCCAGGGATCAGAGTTTTCTAGATCACTGATTTCCAGGCACCCCGGGATGGATTCATGCTGGGCAGACTGCTTGCGTGTCACCTGAGGAGAGGATATTAAAATTCATCCATCAGGCTGGAGCCCCAGGTGATCTTTTTGTGTAACCTGGTTGGAAATGGCTGTGCTAAAAACATTCACTGGCAATTTACTTGGGTTGTCTGTGACTATGCCCGCCCCCTTTTCAGGGACAGTTGCATTCCAAGCACGTTCTCTAGGAGTGGGGGGATGGTGGGGTGGTAAGAAAGGTGGGGGAATGCACACCCTGAGGGTCTTTTCCCTACCTTACTAAATAGAACTATAGTTTCAGTGGAGAAAAGAAATCCTATTTATTTTTCTGAATGTGATCTTGCATAAGGGGTGGAAACTTTCCTTTTGATGGCTAAGAGCAGGATCCTGTGTTCTCAGGAAAGGCGAGATGAAAGAACCAACATACTTAGGGGAGAATGAGATATTGTGTACTTAAGCTGTGTTCTTTTCCAGTGGTTTGATTTTAAAGTTTATTTGCTGACTTAGAGTAAGAAATTGGGTCCAGGAGTCTAAACCTCAAATGCTTCAGAGGTCAGGCAGGTAGCGCGAGATGAAGGGTAAGAGATTGAAGACCAAACTGTTAGGAATGTTCTCCTCTCTCACAAAAATGTTGTGGTCTTCCTTTTTTCTGGAAACATAAGACTCTTGACCTTTCGTTTTCCTGTTTTTGATAGATAAATATTTATCTTTTGTAAGAGAAAACCCGGTGTGTGCAGTTGGGATCAATGGCAGCCAACACTCAGCTTTGGTGTTAGGGAGATGAATCGGAGAGCCATGGCCGTTTACAGGGCAGCAGCTACTACCCGGCTCCATCCAGTTGTTCTCCTTGAGGCCCAGTGTTGCCAGATCCTGTTATTTTTAAGGAGAAGCCACATTTTGAAATTATAAAAGGTTTGGCTTTATAAATTTTATCGTAATTTAAAAATCATTATAAGGCCAGGCATGGTGGCTCGTGCCTGTAATCCCAGCACTTTGGGAGGCTGAGGCTGGCAGATCACTTGAGGTCAGGAGTTCGAGACCAGCCTGGCCGACATGGTGAAACCGTATCTCTACTAAAAATACAAAAATTAGCTGAGCGTGGTGGCGGGTGCCTGTAATCCCAGCTACTGGGGAGGCTGAGGCAGGAGAATCTCTTGAACCTGGGAGGTGGAGGTTGCAGTGAGCCAAGATTATGGCACTGCACTCTAGCCTGGGCGGCAGAGCAAGACTCTGTCTCAAAAAAAAAAAAAAAAAAATCATTATAGACTCACAGAAAGTGGCAACAAATGGTACAGAGGGACCCTGTGTGTCCTTCACCCCACTTCCCCAGTGTTAATATTTTAGGTAGGTATAGTATGACATGAAAACCAGGAAATTGACATTGCTGCAATCTATAGTTCTAATTCAGATATCACTTGTGTTGTATGTACTCATTTGTGTGTGTGCACACATGTATGTAATCCTATGCAGATTTGTATAGTCACCACCATAATCAAGAAAACCTTTGAGGCTGGGCACTGTGGCTCATGCCTGTAATCCCAGCACTTTGGGAGTCCAGCCGGGAGGATTGCTTGAGCCCAGGAGCTTGAAACCAGCCTGGGCAACATCATGAGACAATATCTCTGTAAAAAAATAAAATAATTAAAAAGAAAATCTTTGGCTTTTGAATTATTTGTGCAAATATAACATATTGAAAACTTTGTTTAGGTCTAAAGAACATGCCATGGGCCTGGTGTGGCCTGCTGGACCTTCAATTTTCAACCTCTGTTCTAGTCTAGCCCTTTCTTTCTTTTATTCAGATAAAATTCACATAACACAAAATTCATTGTTTTAACCATTTAAGTAGACATTTTTTTTTAGTATATTCACAAAGGTTTGCAACCATCACTACTAATTCCAGAACATTTTTGTCACCCCACAAAGACGCTCCATTTAGCATTTTCACTCCATTCCCCTCTACCCCTTTCCCTGACAACCAACAATCTACTTTCTGTCTCTATGGATTTATCTATTCTGGACATTTCATGTAAATGGAATCGTATGGTATGTGACCATTCGTGTCTGACTGGGCCTTTTATCTTACAGAGGAAGAGACTTAGGGCCAGAGAAGGAAGGTGTCATGCCCATAATTATACTGCTGGCAAGTACCCTAGTCTGGACTTGAACCCAGAACCAGTACTCTTTGTACCATACCTTTCTGCCTGTTAGCATTCAGGTCTTCAGTTTGATGATGATGATGGTAAAACTACCACCCCAGCTATTTCTTATCAGTTGGCTTAAGTAAGCATGCATAATAACAATAGTTCTGTTACTTGTACTGAGTATTAATATTCTGCAAAGAGTCACTTTGGAAATGGGAATTGTCAAGGAGCAAACAAGATAGTTTAGTTCAGTGTGTGTTTATTGAGTGCCTACTATGTGCCAGGCTCTGGGCCAACAGGGATGAATTGGATGGGTCCCAACCATCAAGGGGCAGTCATTTGGGGCAAACAAAGAGATTAAAGATAATTTCCAGATGTTGAGGGCAAATATGACTGTGGGGCAGAGGGAAAGGGTATCAGTTCTAGCCTGGGGGTGGGGTGGTGGTGGTGGTGAGGGATGACTTAAGGGGTGGAAGGAAGCTACCAGGTAATGAGGCAGCAGAAAGATGCTTTAAGCAGTAGAGACCTGAGCAAAGGTTTAGGCATGGTGGATCCAGAGAGCTGAGCCATGAGCTCATTGGTGGTGATGGAGGGCGAAATGGGGTATTGGAGATATGGTTCGAGGGGTGGGCTTGGGTTAGAGTCTTGAAGGTCTTGAAGTCATAAAAGGTCAGACATCCCTGTGGATGTCTGAATTTTTCAAGCTGAGGATGGCTGAATGGAAGCAGAGTAAGAGAAGCCAAACATGGGAACTAGGTTTCCTGGGAAATACCCAGGTCTGAACAATTGGGGTGGAACTGGGGGTATATAGTGGTGGAACCAGCATCTAAGTAGCAACAGACTTGAGAAGAATCAAGGCAAGAGAAACCAAGAGACCTAAGAGAGGCCATGGTGAAGTCCTGCCCATGCTTCATGCCATGATGAAGATGCCACGGGGCGTCTTTAAAGGGCTCTCAGGCCTGTTCCCACTGGCCTGCCGCCTCCTCCTTGTTTACCTGCCCACCCACTCAGCAACGTTTTCCTGAGTACTTGCTATGTGTTGTGTTGCTGGGGGTACAGCAGTAAACAAGTTGGGCAAGATTCTTACCTCCTAAAGGGACATATGGATAAATAAGATAATTACAGATTGTAAGAGGGTCTACAAGGAAAGTGGCTTTTGCTGGCGAGAGTAAGGTTAGGGAGTCTGGGCTGGCCCCAGTAAAAAAGCATATTTGATCTGAGCTCTCAAAAGTGAGACTGCTCTCTTTCCCTGGTGAGAAAAAGGGGAAGAGCTTTGCAGGCAGAGAGAACAGGAAATGCAAAGACCCTAGTGGGGAAGGACCCTCTGGCATGGGGTACCCTGGGCTTTCTCGAGATTTTTTCAGGGGGTCTCAAATCACATAGAACAGGTTTCTGGAGATCTGGCCCTACA